CCACTTCAGCCTCGTTCACGATGAAACTTGCAAACGGATTAATATCTTTACTTGCTGCAAGAAAAGAGAAATGTCGAATATAACTAATAATACGAATTACTATATTAAGACATTAAAATACTAACACATGACAATATAGTATATTTATTACAAAATATCTGTATGCATGTGTGTGTGCGTATATGTGTTTGCGTGTGCATGCGTGTAATACATGCATTCACACTTTAGCTTAATCTGAGAATAAATGATTCATATACTTTTTTTTGCAAGTTCGAATTCGCGTTTTGCCATTCTTTTAATTCTACCTCTTTTTTTATTAGACTATCTTTGTACACTTGTACCGTCTTTTTAAGCTCAATATTTTCTTTTTTGACGGATCTCACTTGTTTTTCTTTTGGCATCAGTTTACTAGGGCCCTACATAGTTTATCATCCTACCTGTAAATTATTTACAGTTTAACAAAAAATTAAACAGAAAACTATTTTTTTAATATATTGAATATAATGGGCTATTCAACTAATAAACCGAATATGAAGCAATAGAAAATTTTTTTATCGATTCTAATGAATTTTGATATTACACATAAACGCATATACTATTAGAAAATGAACCCAAAAAGTACAAAATTACATTAAGACCAAAACATGATATATACCATAAAAAAATATTAACCGCTTGGCGTAATTTATTTCAAGTGGATAAACCATTTATACAGTTAAGAAAAAACTGGAGAAATATGTTTTAAAATTTTGATGGCTTCAATGTCACTTTTTAATGAAAGAAACCAAGTAAAAAACAATAGAAAATTTTTTATTGGATTCTATTGGTTTTTGCAACTAGACAGGAAAAGGAAAATAGTATGTTATTTGAACTCTATTCCAAAAAGTCTAAGACATAAAAACCAACAAAATGGGAGTTACTATCAAATCACATTAATAATCTTAGTGCACTCCACCGCAATTAAATGAACTGTTTACAGTTAAATAAAAACTAAAAAAAAAAAAACATTTTTCAATTTAATCAAGTTTAATGTGACTTTTCAATTAAAAAAGAGAAGATTAGAAATTGATGAAAATTTTTTTTAATGATTTCTGTTATTTTTTGGGCTTAGACAGAAAATGGATAATAGTTTTGAGAAGAAACCCAAAAAGTACAAAACATAAAATCTATCAAATGAGAATTACCATCAAATAACATTGACCTTTTGGTGCATTCCACCACAGTTAAATAAACTGTTTACAGATAAACAAAAACTCAAAAAAAACATTTTTTAATTTTATTGAGTTTAACATGACTTTCTTCAATGAAAAAATTCGAGTAGAAAACGATAGAAACATTTTTTAATGAATTCTATTTGTTTTTACAGGTAGATATGAAAACGCAAATAGTGTTAGACAATGAACCCACAAAGTCAAAGAACTGACTGAAAACTGCTATCAAAAATTTACATCATAGTATACTATACTCTACTGCTATTAAATACACTATGCATTTTATATAATGTTTTCAAAATAATTGCAAGAATACATTTTTGAATCTGTTAACAATTAGAAATCATATGACAAACAACCGTAAGAAAGCTGAATAAAAATCATGGAATTACCTGTTTTGTTTTTAGCTTCTTTTCCAAAAGAGCAGATGTAATATTTTTGAAATTTGATTTGATACTGAAATTATTTTTTGACAATTCTAAATCTGACACATCTGAAGCTGACAACAGTAACTCTTTAGGTAGGATTCGTGGTCTATGATTTGTTATTTTGGCTTATAATTCCGTCTCTGATTCTATAAGACAAGAAGTAATGGTTAATACATACTTAATGACTCAAATAAACACTCGCATATTATAAGAATGGATTGCGTGTAAAGCAAACAAAAGCAAAATTAAATAATAAGTATAAAGACTGTATAACCTAACGAAAATTTAGAAAAAAAAAGTAAACAAAGGAAGTATGATAGTATTATTGAAACACTGTGTCACCTGCACAAAAAATTATTATTGCTGTGAATCAAGTCCCATTACTGGATTGAACGTTGTATTTTTTTAGTTTATCGAATGGATTTTCAAAGTTACGAACTTGCGACGATGATATGATCTCACAGCACCCGTCTTCTTTTTTCCTGTACAAGTACATACCTAACTAAATATTTAATAATCTTATTAGGATATGACAACCTTCTAACTAATATATTTAACAATTAGAGCTTACATCTCAAATAGTAATTTATTTCACAGAAAAATCCTTGAAAACACAGAAATACTTATTTGGAACGTGTGTGCGGCGTACGCCCGTCGTTACTTGAATAGCGTATAAACATGTGACTCTTGTTAAAGTAAAAATAGATCAGCACTACACTTTGTTATAAAACGCACATATCAGAAATCAAGTAATCATTCCCATTAACATGATACGACACTTATCTTATGTTGAATGACTCGTCAGTTGAAGATAAAAAACGATTTCCCTATCACTTAAGGTGGCTCCAGTGGCCTCAATGTTAAAATTATAAATAACCCAACCGAGGTTAATAAAATTGAATTATATTCTTTGAATTCCCATCTTTCTATTCGTATAAAAAAAAATTAAGGTTGACGACTAAAATTGTAAGAAATCATGCTTACAAAATCGTAGTTTTAAGACGGGTTAGATAGGAAATGCAAGCTTACGCGATATACAACCTACTGCTGCACTTATATAAATAACCCGTAAGGTGTAAAAAATTTACTATCTTGTATATATTATTACGCAGTTTTTGATGACATAAGAAAAGTGTCTTGTTATCGAACAAAATCTTTATATAATCGGAGACTAAGTATACAGTTGCGAGTGCAAGTCAGCTCTCAGCTGTCTGCATTCTGCAGAGTACATATATATATAGGTATAACTACTCTTGAACTGAGGAGCGTACCGTAACAGTTCATCAATTAGGGCACCATAATACTTTTTTGTTTTTTTATATTAACTCACTAAAGTAACAGATAAAATGTAGAATATGGCTTACAACAGTCTCTACGATAATTTTATACCATATTTTAAAGATAATAATGATAAATTTTTAGTCTCCCCATTTTGATACGGCACTAGGCGCTGGAGCCACCTTAACAGCAGCAGCGCGAAGCACGTGATAGTGCAGGATGGCCCATGAGTATACCACAAGCTCTCGTGATATAGATAGATACTTTATAGTAACTCTGATTTCTTTCATCATTATTCGTTAGTTGAATAATAGATGACGCTGAGTTACATCGCGCGAATTTGGTTTACCATGTCGTGATAATGAAGAAAGGTTCGTGGCATTTTGAACACCGGTGGTAAAAGCAAGTCTAATTCAAAATTCAAACTTGAAATTTGTCCCTTTTAGACTGTAAAAATATTATCTTAATCTTACGATAGATAAAGAATTTTTTTGCAATTTAAGGAGTTTTATGTATAGGTTTGAATGATTCCTTACTAATTTACTGCAAACTGCAAATTAGTCCAGGAAGCAGTTTTATTGTTTTATACGTTAAATTTACAATCATTAACCAATATTTTTAGATGTTCTTATACAGCAATACCTATAAAAAAAGTCGGAAAAAAAATTTTATTTGGAAAATCCCATAAAAAATACACCATCTTATGGGATGCTTCTCATAAACTTTACTACAATACAACGTATATGTTTGTAATAAGCAATGCAAGCTTAAAACTTCTACTACCCTATTATATCTGACCACAATTAATTTTAATTCTGTGAGATAAGATTAACAAAAAAATAATTTGTATAATTTACAAGTGTGGACGCTGTTATAAACTCAAATAATGGAATAATATAGTGGCCTATACTGAGGTTTGGAGTTGTTTCGGTAACATCTCGGGTCTTTGTAGAATTTGTTGTTAACTATAAATTACGCTCTTTTTAAGCAAATTAGATGCCAATAAAATTTCCCAGCTTTTTTTGGAAAATCTAGTAAAGTAAATTTAATATTACCGTCAGTCAGAACAATATTAATTATATTTGACTTGTTATTACTGAAAAGTGAAATAATTTTGTTTAGCTTAATATATGAAACTGTTGTAATTCAAGATTTGAAGTAGTACCAGAATAAACAATCATAATCAAGTATACACGGAAAAAACAGCCACGTATAAAGGGATATAATCCCCATTTGAAATGATAGAAACAGTATCCGCTTGTAATACACATCGTATTATAACTTATTAATTAATTCAATTAACATCGATGTGTAGTACACATCGTATTATAACTTCCGGATATCAACGAATAAGTAATATATGTATAGTTTTTAGCAATAAAACTTCACTTTGTTTTACTAACATTGCCAAACGCAATCTAATAAAACGAACAGCTTATAGTATCATGGTCGGCTTTTGCACTCGGTATATTGTATAAAATCGTAGTCGTGTGTAATTTGACTCATTTGCTCGTCAATGTGTTGTTTCATACATAAATGTTATAGAATAGTGTTTGGTTAATCTTATCTAACACAATTAAAATAAATTCTGGTCAGACACAATAAGGTAGGATATGTTTTGGATTTGCATTGCCGGTTAAAAGTGTATATGTTGTATTGATGTAAAGTTTATTAGAATCATCTCATAAAATCGCGGATTCTTTTTATGGGATATTCCAAATACATTTTTTTTTTTTTTCCGACCTTTGTTTATAGGTATTGCCGTATTAAAACGCATGATAATATTAACGAGTGTCAGTTTAATATAAAAACCAATGAATCTGTTTATTGGACTCATTTGAATCTAATAGGACTTCAAAAAATTTTATTGATTTCTGTTGATTACTTGCGATAGATAACAATAACATTAATTTTATATTTTAAGATATTAAATAATATTTATAATGGGTCACTACGTCATCAACTCAACCTAATGAATTGGTTTATAGTAATGTTTATAAGAAATTTAAGTGTAAAATTTAACGAAACAGAGATGATAACGGAAGAGGAAAGATTTAACAATAGAATTTGTTTATAAAATTACCTTAAATACGGAAAATTCATCTTCATAACCATTTATTTTGGTCTGGGGATAAGTAGATCATAATATCAGATTTTTGGTGATGCAATGTAAGCATGTATTTGAAAAATCCTTTGTATTCCACGGCCAAGTGTAGATGTCTTTTTCTTGATGCGGAAATCTAAAAATAATAGTTATACAGAATGAATTTTAAATTGTTTTAGAAACTAAAAGTAGAGTATGGATTAGAGAATAAAATTTTTGGTTTAATGTTGATGAAAAAAAGATATTTTTATTATTTTATTTATCTTTAAAATGAAAACAATTCAAAAAATTTTTTATGAAATAAGGTTGCATCCATAGTTGCACGTGACCCTCCAGTATTTTATTTAAGTAAAATTTTGGGGACAAAATGAGAAGTCGTTATTGTTAATAATATGTGATTACACAATAAATTTCTAATGAAAAGCTTATTAATCTGCTGAATAAGCCACTTTTGCTATTAATTTTATGAAGTTACAGTCATTATGGAACGCCAATGCAACGTTTATCAATACGTACACGTTCATCAACATTTGCTCAATGTGTTCTAAAATTCTTTAAAAAAATTTTTGAATTTTTCTTAAACGTTGTCATGACCAATACAAATTTTCCAATTACTATATGTTTTGGAAATTTTTTTACGTTTTCAATGTTCTGCAGCTCTCCATACGTTTAAACTGATTTTTTGAGTTATTTATTTTTTCAACACTTGTAATTAAAATCTGTAGAATACGTTTTCTTTGATAATTAAACGAAAACTTTTCTTTAATTACTAAATCTAAATTTTTTTTTTTTCTAACTGATTTCTCTGATTTCTCAAAGTTTCAGTACTCTTGACTATTTTTCTACCCAAACTAAATTATACTTTTTTTTCATTTAAGATTTGTTTCCTTTTTACTATTGTTAACTAAACTTTGGTTTTTGCTTTGAAGTGGTAAGAATGGTTTTTAAAAAATTGAATTTCTTGTAAGAACATAATTATATATCAGCTTACACGAAGTATATTATCTTTTCATTATACTCACATTTTATTAATTTTTTCTGCGTATGTTAATTTGGCATCTAGATGACTTAATAAAAGTTTAGATGATTGCAAAACTTAAAATTCTAAAATAAGAACGGCAGCTGCTAGTAGACATGCTAGAAGAAAGTATCTCTTATAGTAACTTGCCCTGTTCTTCTTTAAAACACATCGTGAATCATTAGTTGATCATTCACGATGACTTCATAACCAAAGTATAAGCACTATAAATAATAGACTGTGTATTCCAATGATTGAAGCTACTTTTGAATACAAGCCAGATTAGTTGCATAGATTTATATTAAAACTGGTTCGACGGATCTTGTTTGCTACTTTTGTTTGATACAAAAAATTGAAGAATAAAGCTCCTTAAATGTGCTGTGCTACTAGTTAGATCCATTAACCACTTCTTGGACAGAACCCAAAACTTTTGAAAGAATTAGTTTCAAATTTCATTCATTATCAACACAGTTTTTAAGTAACGCGATAAAATAAAATACTTTTTGAATTACTGTGGTATTAGTGCTCTAAAAGTAGTTCTTGTTTGGATACAGGATTAACAAAAGTTATTGAAAGTGCTTGACTAAATATTAAAAATTTAATGAACAATTTATCGATCGACATAGAAATTGTCATAATAATTTATCTAACAAGGTTGCGGATCTATTGGGAGATAAAAATGAAGGTCCAATAAATATTATTCCTTTTTTTGTCAATAAATATTATTCTGGTAGGCAAAAATGAATACTACCTAACAATCTAATAATCGAATGTTAACAATCACGGTCACATAGAAACAGTATCTTGTATGCAGTCAAATGCTCACAGACTCATGGTCAGAAGAAATACTAAAACCACGTACCTTGTTTTAAAAAATATCTATTTAATACTGTGCTCACAGAATGGCTAAAATTGTTGCCAAATGATTTAGCTCTATACGCAATTATCAAGTTAAGTTGCAAGGGGGCAGTTTTATCACCGAGAAATTAATAATATACGCCTTTAATTTATATTTATATTCTTTTACTTATTATATTTTTTTTTTGACATTTAATAAAGTACACGAAATTTATCAAATAAACAATTCAAAGAATCGGCGCGAAGGATATAATCCGTGCTGTCGACTGCGCGCAGGAAGCTAGATTAGATATGCGCAGGAATCATCAGTGAATACGGAGAATGGATTGTACGCCGAAAGATAACGTAGATTGCGGCGGCGAATTATCTCAAAGTCGGCTATAAAAAGCGCCGACGCGCATGGAAAAGGGTCCTTTTCCAGCGAACCTGGGACGCGGAGATCCTCTGTCTACCCAGACCTAGAACTCTCCCGTGCACCGGTACTAACCGCGACGAGCACGAGCCGAGAGAGAGAGAGAGAGTGACCACGTAGTTAAGAGACTAGGGATAGTGACGGCGCTTCTTGGGTGAAATACTTGGATAGATTACTAGAGCGTTGCTCTAGGTATCCAAGGCCCCAAGAACGACCTAACCCTACGTGACTCTTTCGGGAAAGGCATAGAGCCCAGGACTAGCACTCCGAGACTGTACTACTCACGGTGAAACCTCTAACGCGAAAGAGAATTTTTGCGGGAAAATTTAAAAATCTTTTAAAATATATTTTGGAAAAATTCAAAGTTAAAAATATAATCCGGTTTGGATTCAAGCGCGAAATTCAACTTATCTTGAAATAATTCACAGCCTTTGAAATAAAATAGAAATTTTTCGGTTGGCAATTTAAAAAATTGCGACAGTTATTAAAATAAATGTAAGTTAAGAACCTAACGATTGAAAACATAATTTCCTTATTAAAATAAAGGTGAATAAATTGAAGAAAAAGAATGATTGAGTTTACTTATTTAAATAAACCTTCCCCTCCACAAATGATTACGAGTCTCCTTTTTTAGAGTTTAAGAATAAAAACTAGAATCGTAGCTGTTAAGATATTTTATGAAATTGTTATATATAAAGGAGAAAAGCTGAGAATTTTGTCTGTATCCAAAAAGGGCAGAAATAAATTTTTTTAGAAAGACAATGACATTAACTTAAAGGAATATTCAAGGAACGATAAAAATCATTAAAGTAATAGTCAAAAATAATTGCTGTATATTGTGCAGGAATTGATTGATTATTCAATAAGTAAATTATGAAACTTGATGATATTTATTTTTGAATATTTTTTTTATATATAATCGCGATCTGAGCTACTTTGCTCTTTTACACAGGGCAACGACCCCGCCCTCCAACATATAAACACTAACATTGTTTGTGTGTTGGTTCCTAATCTTAGAGTTTCCTCGGTACAGATAATATTCTTAGCCAATTGTTACCACCGCCAATTGACCGGGGTTATACTCAAAGAAAGGAAAGTCGTAAGTTGAGAGCGAAAGATTTTGCCAACGAAAGGATGCAACTCAATTACGATGATAATATTTAAGCAGTTAGTATTCATTACCACGTTATACTTTCATCACCGTTATCTGGTTTACCAACACATGCGTGAAAGTACTCAGGATACTATGACTTACGTAGGTTAGTATGTGTCCTGAGATTTATTTATTACCTTTATATGCAAACCTGAATAGCACGAAATTAGGAATGTACTATTTTCGGACATAAGCCATTTAATAGTCATGACACAATATCTCAAGTCTTTCATTTTAAACTAAAAATGTTGATATATCTTATGACTAATATAGAGACCTTAGATATACTTGATTATTACACATACAGCGTTAAATATCTACAGAGAGGACTTTATTTACTTCTGTAGTTAAATGATAAAATTCAACCAGATAAAATCAATCTTATAATTTTGGCTGAATTTCGAAAATAAGAAGATTCTTTACTATTTGAAACTGAAGATTATTGATGTACATTTTACCGCAGAAGACATTAAGAGGATGGTGTCATACTACTGAATCACTTTTAGTTGAAAACCATGCAGGAAGATGAATTAAGCCAGTACTTTAATAAATTATACTTCAAAAGCAACTTGGCATCTTTTGATTTTTCGATTAATACAACATTGATTTTAAAAATTTGACATGATCCCTAGAAAATTTACGTTTTAACAAAAGTTACAAAAATAGTTTAGCATAAACAACACAAAAGAGAGTGAGAGAGAGTATTAGGTTGTGTGTGTAAGTGTACTAGATAAGATAATGAGAGTATGAGCAGCTATAAATTTGTTTTTTGAAACGCTTGAGATAGATATCTTTAACTTCCTGAATTACTACTTATTTTACACTGTTCTTTAGTTAACGAGACGTGTATGATATCATACAAAAATAAATACATATAAACATGCTCTTAATTCACAATCAAACAATAAAGTTAATGACATAGCGCAGACGATTGCCACTATGGTATGGATGACATAGCTTTTTACACATAAATATATTGTTTACTTCCTAATAAAAAATAGTCACTTATTCACATGCGGCTATCTTCACAGCCTTTTTACTTACTAGTCCATGGACCGAAGAATTGTTTAATCATATGTTTTTTAGTAGAGAAAGAATTGGTTACTTCCCTAAAAAATTTCCTTAGGAATACGAGAAAAATAGTTTTGTCCAAATCAAAAGCTGGCTTGATTTATTTATTTAACAACTGATGAACAAATACAAATTTCATATTTAGTTTTTTGCTTATATCTCGGCTTCTATTGCTCTTAGAGAAATTTTTTGACGACGAATCTCTTCGTAATCAAATTTCCCATAAAATAGACAAGTTTTTTTAATCCATTCTTTATCGTTAATAACACGTTAATGGCAACAAAGAGTGGAAAAAAATTTTTTACACTAAAAAATTTTCAATCAACGTAAAAAAAAACTATAATATTAATTTGAACATAACCGAAAAAAAATGAATATTAAGTGTGTACAAAATGATTGTTAGCTACTTATTAATTGATTTTCTTAAATGAAACTTTGAATTGTTATTAAAACTTCACTGTCGGTTCATCAACGTTTCGCTTCGTAAAAGACATTGTTTTTAATGTTAGTAATTATAATCGCACCGATGCAAAAATAGCCTCTACGTCCCAAAATACTCTCGTTGATGCAACGTATATACTGGGAGCATCAATATAAAGCTTTTCC